AAAAGTTTTATATTGAAAAGTAGCCATTGACCAAGGGCAGTGCGAAGATATAAAAGCAAGATGCAAGTACCTCAGAAATCGGAGAACATAAAAATCCGAAAGTCTTTCAACCATTTTTTGAAAACTGGGCGGGAACTCTCCCCCCCCATCCTTCGGTCTCGCCGACCCCCTCTTGACCTTCCCCTGGACCCAAAGGTGTGGTATGCAAATTTTGGCTGCTTTAGCTCTTACAGGGACTGAATGCATAGAGAACAAACAAACAAACATACAAACAAGCTTTCTTCTTTATATATTTAGATAGATAAAAGGCGAAGCATTTTTCACTCTTTTCAGCAGTAGCGACGTGAGGATTGCTCTTAATAAACTGCTTTCCTTGCTAACATCACCCACATCGTTCAGTATAATCAAGAGCGAGCAGCTCTCACCTGCAGACTGCTTTTTTCTTTTTCGTTCCATATTCTTCACTAACTATAAAGTATATAAAAGTAAAAAAATTAATATTTGCTTTAATATTTATTTATAATATTTACTTTAGATAATAAAAAATACAAAAATTGTTTTTTACTTTTTTTTATGCTATTAACAATAATCTGATGTTTCTTCATGTGCTCTGAAAATATTCGTTCTTTCAGTTGTGTTTAACAGATATTTTGTACAAGTATAAACCATTACTCAACTATCTTTTTGTAATAAGGTAATATTTCCTTGTGAAAATATTAAACTTGTAAAGAGATTCCATTTGAACATGAAAGCAGAATTCAGCAATTGTATAGTTTAACGTGAACTTAAGCTTAGAAGTTGGAAGAAACTTTTGGATGCGCTTATTGACACTTTCTGTCCTTAAACAAGTTCAAATCCGTACACAACCGCTAATTTAGTTTGTTAATAAAGTTATTTTTCAATACAAACTAAAGAACGTGAACTTCAGCAATTCATATGGTAGATTGACCGTAAGTGGCCAACTTTTATCAAACAACAGACACGGGCGCTCGATCCTGATATCCTATGACACTGTGTTTACTCGAAAAGTAACGATCGAAAAAAGAGCTTGCTCTCTTTTTCTGTGCACGTCCTAGCGTAGCATATTTGTACACTATTCCGCAGATACGCTAAAAAACTGTGTCTCCTTACCAGAACTGAAACTGCTCTAAAACTAAGAAACCGGACCGGCCAGCCGAAAAATCTTTTTAGACCGATGAAAACCGACAAAAAGCCGGCCGACTTTCAGAAAGGACAAGTGGCGGTAAGGTCATTTTTCATATCACACTATCTTTTGGCGAAAACAATCACATGATTGTAATCAGCATCGAATTCTGAACAAAATAGCCAATTCAGTTTTTCCAAAAAAAAGTTTCTTTTTTTTGGAAAACATTTTTGTTCTCCCCCGCCCCCGATTGGAACATCGAAATCTTTTGTATCTCAAATTTCAGCGCAAGATGTGTTATTCGACGCAGAATTTCATGTTTAATTACCAATATCGACTTGATTTAACACTAAAACCTTACTAGCATATTCCAGATCGCTTTTTTTAACTGATGGTTAAAACTGAAAATACGTACTGAAAATACGTCCATATGTTAGGATAGAATTCATATAAGAGCTCGTCTTCGCGGCAATCGAGCATCAGTCATGGTTCGTCTAACTTATTCATGTGTGCACCTATCGTCCTCACACTTAGGTATGCACCAGTCCAAAGGGTTTGGTATTCTGTATCCTGTATAGTTATTGGACTAGTAATTCAGTATGTATACTGGGACTGGTGCATATTTACTTACACTCATTAAGGTATGCATCTATATCCGTCACATTATTAGTCGTTGTATGTATGTTCGTCACATTAATTAGGGATTATATCTATCATACACGAACAACTGACCATAGACTTGTACTCAATGGAAAGAGTTTTCAGAGGTCTGTGAGACTAAGAGCTAGGAAGACACAATATGTTCACTGCTACATGCTACATTAACCCTACTTTTTCTTGTCACTATCCTCATCTTCACTCTCACTCTCACTCCTATTCTCATCCCACTCCAGGTGTGAAAGTGAGGATCAAGTTAAGGTGAGATGGAGATAAGAATGAAAGTGAGGATGAAGGTATTCTGTTTTGTCAGCATTTAGTCTCACACTGACTGACGCATGAAAGTTCTCTTGTATTAAAAAATAATTTTTCTCTTAAATAAAAAATTAATGGCTTACTTGTTAATGATAATGAATACAACAGAAGGTGTCAATAGGTAGCTGCTCACGTCCAACAATACGATTGCCGTAAACGACGTGCGCAGCTGTATACAGCAACTGTCAGGGTTGTATTTGCGGCTTAAACAATCGTTTACAGCGCGATTATAACTGTAAACGGCCGTAATTACGCCGTAAATGTATCCGTACCGTTTACGGCGTTGATATACGGCCACTTACAGTGATCATAAATGACCATGGGCAGCATATTGCTGTCGCTGTATAAAGAGAAAACAATGCAATAAGCATTCTTTAATGGATCCTTTAAATCCATGTGTAACCTTGAAGCTTCTGGAAGGAACATGGAAAAATTTCCAAGTTTTTATTGAAATATCAGAGCACAGCATTAGAAACCTTGCATAAATTTAGATTACGACTTACCCATAAAATTTATTTATCATAAAGTTGCGCCATTACGTTAAATCATAATAGGCTGTAAACGTGGATTTCCGACAAACGTTCACAATAATAGTATATTGCCATAAAAGGCCATCACAATCTACCGTAACTGATTGTACATAACGGCCATATACGGCGCTCATTTTTAAACTATAAACCACCGCTTACCACTGTGTTGATTCGACGTAGGTGGTTGGTGACATCCTCGGAGGTGTCAATAGTTCCGGTGTCAATAGTTGTCATACCACGATCTAAACAACTAAGTAAGATATGAATTTGTCTATAGAGCAGAATCACTCGAGTTTATCGTGTGCATGAAAAAGGAGTGATGTGACTTTTTTTAGTACCATGTGTCCTACTTTGTATTGTAGGTGGTCACAATGCGTTCAAGTAAACCAAAATCCAATGATGATAACAATCGGATAGTTTATGTTTTAGAATGTGAAAATAACAAATTCTACGTTGGTAAAACAACAAACGTTAAACGCCGTTTGATTGCTCATAAAAAGGGTTCTGGAAGTAGTTGGACACGATTGCACAAACCAATAAAAGTTTTTAAAGAATATAAAAACTGTGATGCATTTGATGAAGATAAATATACAAAAACATATATGTCTGAATATGGTATTGATAATGTTAGAGGTGGTTCGTACAGTCAAATAAAACTTGAAGATGATCAAATGAAAATATTAACAAAAGAATTACGAAGCAGTAAAGATCAATGTTTAAAATGTGGAAAAAAAGGACATTTTATACAGAAATGTTTTGCTTCAACATGGGATTGCATCAAATGTACTTACAGTAATTTAAATAGTTTGTCATCTTGTAGTATGTGTGATACTATTAATCCAATGGCAAGCTCTAGTATTAATATTCAGTCCAAGTCTTCTAATATGTTGTCAAAAAAACGAAAGATTAAAAGTACCAATAGTAATGCAAAGCGATTTCAATACAAAAAAGGTAGTTATAAATGTACACGTACATGTGATACTGATAAAGATGATGACTTAGTAACAAATAGTGAAACGTACGACGATGATGGTTCAACAACAGATAACGATACAGATGAAGATGGTCAATCTGATAGTGACACTAGTGAAAATACCAATTCAGCAACGGATAACGATGCTAATGATGATGACGATGAAGATGATTCAGAAACAGATGTTGATTCAATAACAACTAGCGATACTGATGAAGATGACGATTACTATTAAGAGTTTAGGTTAAATGAAATAAAAGACCGCTACGCCTTGCATTAAAAATATATTAATTATCATAAAAGTTGTAATGAGAGACAATGATGAACGAAAAAGAAAACAAAAACTAATCCAAATATTAAATAAATAGTAGTAAAAATAAACTATCAAAATGACAGAAAGAACAAAAAATTGACAACAGCAAAATAAAGTCATTTTCCACTATTTACCACAATTAGTGGCGCACCATGTTCCATTATACATACAGATAAGTTGACTAGTTTGTTTTAGCTCCTATTAAAATTGTCCAATTCTCACTAGACATTTGAATCATTATGTAAAGAACTTTATAAGTGAAACAAGACTAATGTTACTAATAAAATTGTAAATATAAATATAATTCTAATTGATAATGTTATTGATAGTTAACAACAATCATTTGTAATGGTAACAACCTAACACCGAACAAAATTATATATTTTATAAAAAATACAGTCAAATTACACAACTTTTTATTATTATAAAAATTACACATTCGCATCATATGTTTACTTTTACTTAATCTGTATTTTATCATTCGAAGATTGAATACAAAATGTATCCGTTATGTGAAAAACTCGCTGCTATATTATCAACAAGTGGAAAGAAGATCCCATCAATATCCCATAGGCGCATGTACCTCAACTGTCATATGAGTAGAGTATAACGTATTATTATTCGTTATCAAGGACATGGCTGTTTGATTTCCGGTGAATCGAGTGAAGGTGGACAACTAATACTGCCCATGTAACTTCGGTGTGTCTGAAAAGACGCGCTTTAACTCGTTGTTACTGTAAAAGACGCGCTAAAACGCGTCTTTTTAAAGATAAATTTCTCAGACGCGTCTAAACGCGCGTGAGAGAGACGCATTTAAATGCGGCTGTAACTATTTTCCTCAAAATACGCGTCTTAACGCATTTTCGTAAGAAAAATGAAAAAAATTACAGGCGCGCCTAAACGCGCATAAGAAAGACGCGTCGAAACGCGGCTATAAAACATTTTCGTCAACCGACGCGTCTAAACGCGTGTTTGTACGGACAATTTCTACGGCGCGTCTAGACGCGCGTTACAAAAACGCGTTTAAGCGCGTCTCCTAATCGCGACCAAAATGAGACCTAGTTTGACGCGCTTTATGGAGGCGCGCCTAAATGCAGCCGCGGAATGATATTTCAAAACGCGTTTAGGTGCGTCTGTTTAAAAAATGTTTTGAAATCGCGTCTGAATGCGTTTTCTTACGGATCATTTCTTAGACGCGTCTAGACGCACATTAAAACGACGCGAGTTATGATTTATCGAAAAGTGAAAAATGAAAACGACGCCTTTAAACAGGCGCTTGAAAATTTCGTCAAAAAGCAATTAAAATATAAAACTAAAAGCAAATCTTCGGACAAAATCTCGCATATTCTAAAATGCTTATTTAGAAATTTGAATGAATAAACAAAGAAGCGTCTTTGACTAGCCAACCATAATGCAGTATATTTGGCGCTATGAGCTTTAGTACATTATTCTATTATGGATGTCTTCTATGTATCTGCTCTACCTTAAATGACTAATTTCACTGTTCTTTACACGTGTAAAATACACATTGAGAAACTGCAAAGCAAACTGCCAGCTCAGTAGCTGAGTGTGTAAGTAACTTGCTTTGTAATTTGTCTTTCTGTTCTAGGCACATGATCGAATCTCGTTGACAGCATCATCATAGATATGCGCTTCTTTCTAGCGAATCCTGCCCTTCTCATATCGATATTCAATGGACATGCTAAAGTACATCAGGTCCTTAACTATGACTTAAAATAAGTGTAAAAGAAATATTAAAAATACTTTTTAAAAACTTTAAACAGACGCGTCTTGACGCGTGTGGGAAAGACGCGTTTTAACATAGTGAAATGGTACAAAATCGAGGCAAGCAGACGCGTCACCACATGCGTCTACAACTAAAAAATATTTACGTGGGTGTGTCCTCACCATGTCACTGATAATGAATAATAATACATTGTGCCATACTCAAATGGCAGTTGAGGCAAGGGGGAAAAAGCGGATCCGCGGATCCGGGTTTCCGCATGGATCCAAAAAGATCCGCATGAATCAAAAAAGATTCCCACAGATCCATCTCAATATTCTTCCGCTAAAACAGCACAATCCTGTTTCCAAAACAGAACAGTCTGAGTCGCGAAACAGGACAATCGTATTCCCGAAACAGAACAGTCTGATTCTTTTATTGGGAAAATTTCCTGGATAACGGGACAATTGTGTTCTGTTCTTTGAATTCTTTTCCCACAGACAGAACATTTTTGTTTTGCTTGTGGGAACAGAGATTTCTGGGACAGTTCAGTTCAATAAAATTGTATTCGCATGGATCCGCGTAGATCCGCATGGGTCCACGTAGATCCGCATGGATCCCGGATCCGCCTTTTCCCCCTTGAGTTGAGGACATGTGCATGCGCCTATGGGACATTGATGGGATCTTCTTTCCACTTGTTGATAATATAGCAGTGACTTTCTTCACATAATGGATACATTTTGCATTCAATCTTCGAATCACAAAACGATGACAATATACAGAATAAGTAAAAGTAAACATATGTTGTGAAAATGTTAAGAGCCAGAATACACTATACTATTACACTATAACCTCTGAAGGTGACTCCAGCTGATAAAGATAAAAAAGCAAAAGTTGTTTTTTCTCGATAAAACGAAAACAATTTACGTAACATAAAGAATATTTAGTCCACCATCTTATAGTTTTCTTTAGTTACGAGACACGTTATTATTCTGTTTATATTGATCCGTTCTGCATTGTTTGACTCACATCAGAACTACGACAAAAATTATTTCTGTTCTTTTTAAAACAAATCTTTTTCTTTCTTTTAAAAGAAATGCAACTGAGAGATTTCTTAATCCTTTAGAGTATGAAAATTTTGGAAAGATTTATGCTCGCCGAGCGTCAATCTTGCCCATTTATGATGCAGTGGAAAAGTAATTAATTTTTATTCGAAAGATTTTAATTTTACTCAGTTGGTAATGAGTTCTGTTATTTCACGGTTCACGGAAAAGGATATTTTAAAGATTCTCGGTTTGTCGGCGACTAGGATAGATTCATTTGGTGGCTGTCACTTGAACGTATACAATACATTGTACATCTTAACTGCGTTATTGTATTATGTTCTAGATATCAAATCAGTAGATACCATTGTTTGAAATTCTTTACCAAAATCGGTCAGTTTCACTTGTGAGTTGTAAATTGTGACTGAACAAGTACAAAAGATAGAAAATAGTATCATATTTCGTGCATGCACTGATACAAGGAATTATTTTCCAATTTACGGAAATTCGATGTAGAAAATCAAAAAGGATTTTTATATACGAGAAAATCGCTAATCGTCCTACTCAGTAAAAAACCGATTTTACAGAAAAGCAAATTGATTTTTATAAAAAAGAAAACATGCATTTCCGTTTTGCTCAAAAGTCGTCCAACACTTGATACATGCTCGAAAACAGTTACCGATTTTCTATACTTTTATGATAATTAATATATTTTTAATGCAAGGCGTAGCGGTCTTTTATTTCATTTAACCTAAACTCTTAATAGTAATCGTCATCGTCATCAGTATCGCTAGTTGTTATTGAATCAACATCTGTTTCTGAATCATCTTCATCGTCATCATCATTAGCATCGTTATCCGTTGCTGAATTGGTATTTTCACTAGTGTCACTATCAGATTGACCATCTTCATCTTCATTTCTTAAGTTTGTTGGGAAAATCTGATTTTAGCACAGAAAAAAGCTTAGTGAAGGAGGAAAAGGTTTTCCTATACTTAATCTTGACTGAAAGAGCGATTGGAAATAGTTTGACGACGAAACAAACTTATTTCGAGCATTTTCTGTGTTTTGGTCATTTCCAGCTCTGGCTATTGTAAGACCATTTTGCTCCCGAGTTGCAACGCTTTTGTCAGTTTTAAACTATGCATCAGGTGCAGAATTGGTTGTTCTATTAAAATATCAAAACTCTATTATGGATTGTCGTTTGGTTGCTTAAAATATTCAGGTTTTTCCACAAAAGCCTCAGTTTTTCAAAACCTCAAAATTTTAGTAAAATATTTTTTTGAGACTACTCTTTCAACTTTAAACTACTTTTAAATATCAAATTTTGTTCAGTTTTGTACGCTCTTTCGAATGAAATGTCGCTCAATAACGTGGAACGAAAACTGACGGTTTTATACATAAAAAGCTGAAATTAGTCAATTTTCGGGTTTTTTAGACTTAGATCTTGGGAAAACTTGATTTTCTCCAGAGCAAAAGGATTTCTAAGGTTTTAAAAAGTTTCATCACCCCAGTTTTTCATGCCAAATCGAATGATGTAACTCTTAACATAATCTATTCTTCGCGATTGACAGGCCTGCTTAAGAGTACTCGAGTCACTCGTGGAACGTCTCTTAAATTGATGCAATGATGGTACGGTCTATATGGATTTAACCACCCTGAATCGTTTTTTTCAGAATGTTTAATGAATAGCCATTTGAGTAGAAAATACGAATATAGTATTCTAATTCTCGAATAGTTCTTTAGACGAACAAATTCTTTGTGCACAAGTACACAGATATTCGATGATGTTGGTTTTGTAGTTTCTCAGTTCATCACTCGACCATTTTAAATATAGTCCCGTGTGCGTAAACAGCCGATAGACATAGGTAACCAGTTTATCACTTTTTCTCTCTTTCATTCATCAGGGCTAGCAAAGACACAATATGTTCACTGCTACATGCTACATTAATCCTACTTTTTCTTGTCACTATCCTCATCTTCACCCTCACTCTCACTCTCACTCCTACTCTCATCCCTATCCAGATATGAAAGTGAGCATCAAGTTAAGGTGAGAGGATTAGTTCTCGTTTCGCCGACTCATTAAAAATATTCTCGTTTTACCGACCTTTCTAAAAGTATAGAAATCTATAGTTCTCGTTTCGCCGACTTTTTTCTTAACTGATTTATTCAAATTCTTGATTTATTTATATATTCTTGACTAAATGGTAACCAGTTTATCACTTTTTCTCTCTTTCATTATAATCAGCATCGATAATTTATTATTTTTTTCCGACCTTATTTGCGCCACAGCGGATTTCAATCTATACGGTGGTTAGCAGTTCGTTGGTCGGAGCTGGATAATGTAGCTTTTGCGTATAAACAAATATGTTGGAAAGTAACAAATAACCGCAAGATTTCAAAACATGAGCATTCTGGATATTTTTTCGATAGGATTTTTTGTTTGACAATAGACTGCTACTATATTTTTGCGCTCATCGAGCTCTATCGTGCACAATTCAACTCTAATTTGAATCAAGTAAGATAGCAAATCTAGTCGATTTCAGTGACAACTTTAAATCATGTAGACTTTATACACTAAATTTGCATTTTATTATCACAATTTTTCACTCAATATAAATTAGATCGAAAAAAATCTCGAACAATATTTGGTATTTAAAAAAAGAACATTAATCAGCGCAAGCAAATAGTAAAAAAGCTAATTGGAAACTATAATAACTGTTACGATTACAATGTTTCAACTTTTTTGAAACCTCTAGAACCAAGTTTATAAATGTCACTTCCAATTTTGACAGTCTTCCCACGTGGAAACTGACCTGCTACAGATAAAATATCTTCTTTCATTGTATGAATTGATCCTTGTGTTTTATCGGCTATGTAAATTAATCCTGGATTAACATCTTCTTTGGTTTTGGCTCCGCAAACAATTACTTTAACTGGTAACTTAACTTGATCTAACAGTATTAAGTCTCTTGGTGTAGCAGAATTGTCAGCTATGTGAACAACTGATTTACATGTGGGACAATCTTTTATTC